AATACTCTATATCCAGGTTAGACAAAGCCTATAATTTGACTAGAAATAAGATCATTGCATAAATAGGTGGAGGGTTTACCACCTCGGATCACTTTTCATCTGGGCTGAGATGGCTGACAGTTTCAGGCGGCAGCCCCTTACCAGGAAGCAGGCGGGGGTAACAGTGCAAATACAGTAGCATATGTTCCAACTGAAAGAAAGGTAAATGAAAAAGGAAGACAATCAGGGGAGGACTGTTTACCATCCCCTGGGAATGGACACCCGGACATTTACATCATATGCTCAATTGGTGACTGAGCCCGACCCTTTTATTATGCCCTATCTTTTCCAGTAGCCTTTTAATTTTTTCTCTAATTCAAGAATGGTTCTTCACAAAAGAGAAAACTAGGAAGCTACCCTGTGTTATTTCTTCTGATCACAATGGTAATCATTCTTCCAATTTTACTCTGACATACCAGACATCCTAAGGTATGAAGATCATCAAGGTATTGTATGAAAATGTGACAGTTTTGTGTAATTGTAGTGAAGATTTTAAGAACAACAGAAGATTTTGAAAAGCTGTCTCTACCACAGCAAAAGCTGTTATCTTTGTTATTTTACTTTTGTGACAGATGGTAGGAGTGTGCCAGCATAGATTGATTTTTCTTTTAGGCCTCTGCCAGTTCCAAAGAATGAATACAGTACCCAAAATAAACATTAATACAGTGGGAATATTTATAACCTAGAAATTTCATATACAAAGAAGAAAAATATCAATAGATTTGAGAAGGAGCTGAAAGTCTTCTCTTAAGACATTTTTGAAATATTTTACATCTTCTATTTATTATTTTCATACTTTATAATACTTTATAATATGTATAATAATCAATACAATGGAAAAATATGTCATTATTTATCTTGATAGCCAAATAACCATGACTTGAAATAATCATGACATTATCTCTTAGCCTTTTGAGAGATGTGGTAATGGGCTGACCATAAGATTTTTCTGAGCAAGTACTTGCTCTGCTATTAGGGAACTAAAGCTTTGCTGAGGACAATGAACTTCATAGTACAAGCATGTGTAATGTTGCAAAATAACTTTTTAAATCAATATCTGCAATTGACAGAACTACAAATGTAGGTTGAACTCATAAATATTGGGATGATGAGAAGGAGAAGACCTTGTTGAGTACTTACCATAGGCAAGGTATTCTGCATCATGTTCCTTAAAAATATTGTCCCCTTTACATCTGACAGTAGCTCTGCACATGGGAAATGATCACACTTGGTTTTCAGACAAGGAATTTGAATAACAAAGAAGATGAATAACATACACAGCTAAAATCATGTGTCATGCAAAGATGGAGTCAGAATTGTAGATCAACTTTGCCTGACTGCAAAATTGAGAGTTGAATAAGAGGAGGTATGTGGGGGAGTATGCTTTACCTTTCTTTGTTCAAGAAAAGCATTGACTATGTACCCTGATATTTTTTCCTGAGCACCACTGATTGGGACAACTTGTAGGTAAGTCATGATGAATGGTATGAGATCTAACTTAATGCAGTACTTTCCCTTAAGT